TACTAAAATAACTTGGAGCAACCCGGAGCAACCTGGAGTAACCCGGAGCAACCCGGAGCAAAAATTATATAGTAACCTGGGTTATAATAAATAATTTGCTCCAGGTTAGTACAAAAAATTAGAAATCTTAATCCACTCCGTAACGGAGTGATACATAACCCAGGTTGATACCAGAACATTATGCTCCAGTTAACAACCCTACATACAGATACTAAAAATAAATTTTATAATTATGACCTTTAAAACATATTTCATTAATAACTGCTACATATAAGTTTTAAAATATATTTTCGCATTTCATATTATATATAAACTCATCACTTGTTATTTAATAAATGCCTAATTATTACAAGATCATATCCATCTGATAACTAGTTGATTTATAATTTATGAACAACACCTGTGAAATCAAGAAATTGATCATTCATCTGAACATTCTTAAACCATTGATCATGCACTTTTTCTGTTGCTCGTCAGATGGTTCAAAATAACATCATATTCACAAGTAAAATGAATGATCCAAATTTCACTTATTGAAAGTATAATCAAGTGCCCACAAAAAATGTTTCATTTACTAGTATATGAGCTCTTTTTGTATGAGTAAATTGATGTCTAACTAATAATGTTTTTATCAAAAAAAAAAAAAAAAACGAATAATTTTCATCAAAGTCTTCAGGAAATCCATGGAATCATTAATTTTTTGAGAAATTTTTATTGAAGGGATGGAAGGATATGCTTTTGGAATAATATGTTATCTGATTAAACCATCTAAAGATTAATCCATCTAAAGCTGAAGACATCTTAAACAATTTATTCACTCATCAGGAAAGCTTGATTTTTTTTTTCATTGTCACTATTTATCAACAAAATCAAGGAACTCTAGAAATTGAGATTGAAGAAGGACCAGAATAATCCCACATCTATCATCAGTGAGTGCTTGTACCATTCTTCTAAAGGTAAGGTGAATATAAGTCTTTTTCTTGTAATTTATTAACAGAAAAAATTTTCCATGATGCAAAACTAAGTTTCTGATGAACAAGCAGATAATCATCAATTGAACATCCGCATGCTATAGGCTAATATAATCTGTAGTAGTTAACTGTATGACTCGGAGCATTTGTGTTGACTTTCCAAATGCTCGTGGTTCAATCAGCAGTAACAAGTTTCCATACGTTATGTTTCGCATGAACATTCGATTTTTCATTTTCTGCCGGATTCACATAGTAAAAGAACCACTTCGATTAACTTGTCCCATTAATGTTAGACTTCTTTTTGTGTAATGAAGAAATTGATCAATGAATAAAAATAAGCAAGATACTGTTAGGAAATACGAGATAATATGTTGTTTAAAAATTTTTTACTTTCTTCCTCTGCCTTCTCTTTCCTAGATAAACATCTGATGGATGTTCTATCAAGACAAAAGGGTTAGTGATGCAAATTATCAGTTCGACAACGTTGATAAAATAAGATAAAACTTGATATTTTAATTCAGCAAATTAATTCCCGTATTTCTATGACCTCCCGACTCAAAGTAACAGTTGATGCGAGTTACTCAATTATAATATGAATTTTCCTCTTAGTGGCTTCTCAGATTTATATCTCGAGTTGTAAAGTTGCAAAGAAGTTCGTCACTGTCTTTAAAGGTAAGTTCTGATAACCAATCGTCATGATCGTCTTGGATCTCTACTTTCCATAATTTGAGTTTATTTGTATCTACCTGACAAAACCGTTGGGGTTCTCCACCTTGATAACTTTCTTGAAATCACCAATAATATCGTCCTTGCTGACCTTGACGGGATAAGCGTGTGTTACTGAGTTTCCTTTAACAAGACAGAAAAGTTTAGAGATATTGTAAAGATGTAGTCATTTTAATTTAGGTAATCGAAATTACACGATCCAATTATCTTTCGAGTTTATAAAAATATATAAACCCACTTTTTTTTTTTTTAAAAAAAATGATAAATCAAAAATCATGCCCGTCAATTCTCCAAAAATTTCCCAGGTACCACCTAGAGCTTATGAAAGATATAATAGAAGAATGTTAAAAAAAGTGAATCAAATGGACTATAATCGATTCCATTCGACCAAAGGAAGAGCGTACACTGCATTTATTACGATCTTCTCGGCAGGTTATAATGACACATTTTTATAAAATATTTTTCTTAAATATTTTACTATTAAAAAATAAAAAAATTTTATCGTAGTAACGGGAGCCTATCTTGCTTTATATTCTGATTTCGGAGAAGAGGAACATTGTTTTACTTCTGTCTGTATTTTATGTAATTTTATTATTATTAATATTATTTAAAAATACAATTAAAATAATTTAAGATATATTAAATTAAAAAAATCTTTTTTAGATACGAACGTGGTATGCAAATAAAAAAGAAGAATTTTGGTCTTTAAGCGAAAAGGAGAAACGTGATTTAGAAGAACAGGGGAAATTATAAATAAAATCTATTTTTAGTCTCAAATAATTAAATTATCAAAAATAATTATTTAAATAAATTGATATAAATTAAAATTTTTATAATTTTATAATAATAATGAATTGGTTTCATTTTTTAAATATCCCACAAAGCATTTATCCAACATCAGATCATAATTTACCCAAGAATGTGTTGTCGCTTTTTTTTTTTTTTTTAATTAAAAAAATGATATAAGTAATTAATTATTATAAATAAAAATTATAATAAATAAAAATTATAATATTTGAATATAACTTACTAAATAATTTAGTTCCGTCTCGACCTGCTACTCGCATTAATTCTTTTTCACCTATTTTTTAATTTTTTCACATGAAAAGAAATATTTTGTGAGTGAATTTTATAAAAAATTTCATTAATTTAATAAAAGTATAAGCAATTTAATTTACCACCAGGGTGAAACTTGAGATATGGTGTCATATTATAAATTTTGCCATTAATTGCAGTCCAAGCATTATCTCTTTTTTTATGTTGATTTAATTCTTCAAGTGTATATTTCCGTATTTCTGAAACACCCTGAAAATGATAAGGTGAATTAAATTGAATTAAATTTCAATAATATATATATATATATATATATATATTTATATTTATAAATATAATCATTAATAATTTTTTTTTACACTCAGATCAATCCCACTGTTTTTTAATCTTGCCCAATCTAAAGGTGAATGTCCAGGTTCCAAAATAACTTTCCGTCGTAATTTATTGGCTTTTTCAAGGGGAGTTGGTTTTTTATAAGTTGATTTTATACGTTGTGGACTATCGATAAGTGGAAATTCTGAAGGAGAATCTATTAAGAAATCATCATCATTTCAAAATTTCAAAAATAATTATTTGACAATTTTTTTTTTATAAATTAAATAACAAATTTGCAAATTTTAACAAATAAAAAAAAAATTGTGTACCAGTTTGATCTAATAATTTTAATTTTGGTATAGGAATTACGGGAACAGAAAAATCGATTTGGTTATTCACTTGTTTATTAGTCGGGGTTGAAGATATTGTTGAGACTAATGAAACCTGTGTAGAGGATTCAATATTATTGTCAAAAGTTTCATTTTCTTCATTCTCAGAATTCTCGACGACATCTTGATAATTATTATTACCAAATATACTTGTAAAAAGTTTAGAAGGAATGGAAAACATTGGGATATTATGGATATTAAGTAGATATTAAAAAAGAGATTAATTTTAACAATAATAATTTTTTAAAGTCAATGCTAAGAAAGATGAAAAAAATGGTTAGTCATCCATATATACCATTCCATATATTCAACTCATTGTTACACATTATTTCCTTCATGTCAATTATATTAAAAATGTTTTTTATTCAATTGATTAATTTAATATTTTAAAATACTTAAATGGGAAAAAAAAATCATTATTCTTGACAAATTCATGTTACTATTACTGTATTTATTCAAAGATACAAGTTTTCGTCTAGCTAATTTTTTACAAAAAGGCTTAAAAATAATAATAATTAATAATCATTTTTTTTTAAAAATTTTCAGAAATACAGCATTAATAAAATAAAATCTACTTTTCTCGAAGTTTTAAATAATTTCTGTGTGCGTGCGTGTAACTTAGTTATTTGAACATACTTTGAACCAATCATATCGGAATCTGCAATAATACTCTTCTCGAAATCTTTTTAACGAAACAATTATGTGGCTGTCAGATACACAGAGTACGTTAAACTGCAACAATTTTTTAAGCATGTTTTTTTTCCTTCTACACTAATTTAGATCGCCAAGTTGAAAGTTTGAGTGTATATTATGAAGGAATTCCTTATCATGAATCTTTTTAGATCGCGAAATAACAAAAATAATCTCAAATGTATATTAAAGAATTAAGCAAAATAATAATAATTCTATTTAGAAATTGGAGTTGGTTTGACTGCATTTGGAACATTCTTTATGTTTCTTGGTATTTTGCTTTTCTTCGATGGCGGACTATTAGCAATAGGCAATGTAAGCTGTATTTTAATTATTTTTTAATAAATTTATTAATAATTGAATAATATTTGACAATTAAAAAAATTTTTGAAATTTATATAAGATGTTATTTCTGGGTGGAATAACTCTTATCATTGGTTTCCATAAAACTCTTATATTCTTTGCTAGAAAGAACAAGATTTTGGGAACGCTTTTTTTCTTTGGAGGAATCATTTTGGTTTTCTTAAAATGGCCTAAAGTGGGAATGGGAATTGAATTATTCGGATTCCTAAATTTATTTGGGTAATTATATATATATATATATAAAAAGAGTGTGTGTGTATGTGAAGAAATAGAGATAGACATATCTATATTTCTATCCCTTTTTTTTTTTTTAATATATTCTGAGAATCTTTGAGAATCAAGGTTATAATTAATGTTGATGTTTTATATATATATATATATATATATTTCTAGTGATTTCTTTCCTGTTGTAATTAGTTTCCTTCGGAGATTACCTATTATTGGGAATTTGTTAAATGCACCTTTTATCTCACAAGTATGTTTTTTATAATATTTATTCAAATCTAATGAATTTAGTCCTATAACTAATTATTATTTTTTTAATTATTAATCAAATTGTTATTTTAGATTGCAGATAGAATAACGGGTTCAAAATTACCTGTATAAAAAAAAAAATAATTTATTTCTTTACTATTTACTAAATAATCTTGCTTCAGGCTTTCAACTTTCAAGGCTTGAAATGCATTTTTCATTTCCTTAATTTTTGATAAATAATCTAATTATATTAATTATATTAAGTATATTAATTATTCTTAGTACTTATCATTTACGTATAAAATATTTTTATTATTCTTTATGAAAAGAAAACACGGAGACATTTTTTAGACATTTTAACATTTTTAATTTTTTGAGACAATCTTAATCTTCTTAATTTGGATAAAAATTTTTTTTTAAGATCTAAAGACATTTTTTAAACGGTTTAATTTTAATAATAATAATAATAACAACTAAAATATTATAATGATTACTAATGTAGTTTTATGTTCATATTTTATTTATTTATTTATTTTTTTTTTATTTATTATCTTTTGTACTTTACCCTTTTTTACCGCAGGCAGTGCTATAAGTAAAATATTATCATTTAGAGCATGTAATCAAGTTTTCTCAAGTAAATATGCAAATATATTACATAAATACATAAATATGTATGTTGAAATATTATCCTGAGATTATAAACCTTTCCTTGTTATTATTTTTGTTTGTCTGAAAACACAAAAAGCGGTTTTATTTATAGGAGATAACTCTAAAGAAGTTAAAAGACGCGTATTATTGTGTGATTTAAATAAAAATATTAAAATATCAAAAACTTAGTTCATCAATTAAATAAAAAAAAGACGTTGATTCAAAATATTTATCAATATCACATGACTCACTAAACTCTCGAAACATAAAATGTTATTATATCCTCGAATAACGCGACTTCCAACAAAACTATGTGAACGCCTATTCATCGAATAATCGAATCATGTTATTATAAAAGCAATATGTACAGTACCATTTGGTTTTGCGCGAACATATTTATTTTACATGTTTAATTATAAGCCTAGTGGGACCTCAGAAGACCAACACGCGGCTTCGCATTCCTCAACAAGAGACTCGCATCACCAAATTGCCGAATTCGCTCTGCGGTTAAGGTGGATTAAAACCCTGCTTTTACAATAAGCGAATTTATTAACTATTCCCTCGACTCTTCGACCCGACCCGACCTCGACCGTGGGATAGAAGCATAACTTTTATCTTTAAAATGTTACAGAATTAGATGTCAAATATTTTGTTGTAAATTCTAAATTTTCGTTTTTTTTTCTTTCTCCATAGGAACACGATTTTTTAGTCTAAACCCTTATAAGAAAAGTGAAAAAAAGGGATAAAATTTTATGAACTGAGTGAGGATTGAGAAATGATATCACTTAGTTAACCTTCTAAAAAAACTTTAATTTATCTTCCAAGATTCCGAAATTCTAATATCTTTGAAATTTTTTGTTAATTCTTTTAAAACCTTCTTTTGGAGATTTCAATAACAATAATTGGTTTAGTAATGCATAAACTACATAATGTTAGTTAGGAAACAAATTTTTGTACAAAAAAAAAAAAAAAAATTCAACCATCATACAAAAAATATTAAGATATATCCAAAAATGTAATGATAATTTGGTGGAATGGTCGTCGATAATGACGATAATGAGAGTCTATATCAAAAAATCGATATTTTCGTTGAAGAAAATCAACTGAATAAGTTAGTTTCTTATAATTTAATTAATTAGAAAAATGCAATTGTAAACAAGGCATGCAGAATCTTGTAATCTTGTTCACATTTACTGGGGATACTAATTATACAGGAAAACCATTAAAATTACTTTTATAGACAAATAAAAAATTCCGGGACGGTTTTTCGAACTTATTTATTCTAAATTCTTTCTTCTCTTGAGTAATTAGAAAATGATCTTCCTTGTGCGAAATAAATAAGAAATATAAGAATTGTACAGGGATTACTTGTATTATTTTGTATTATAAAACTTTTATTATTCTCGTAATTATCCTTAATATTGATATATTCGAATTTATAACATAAACAAAGCAGCTTAATGCACATCTCGAAGTGGTTACATTTTTAATAAATATTTTTTTTATTCATACATTATAAATTCAGATTAGTTGCAGTTCTTTCTTAACTCGTCAACACAAATTTAATTTGAAAACCAATCAATGATGATTTAATTATAAATACTTCTCTTCGTTGGTATAATGATTCCCTAGATGCCCAAATATAAACTAGTCGAAAAAATAAAGAGTCGATCATCTGCACAATTTTGTAATTCTTGAAATTCTTGCATTACTTAGACGCACGAAAATATAATAATAGAGAGCCACAACTAATTTGGAAAATATTATTTTATGAATAAATGCATTTACTTTCCATTAATGGTGAATCGTATAATGAGAAAAATGGATTTGGTAAAAAGTGTATTTAAAATCCAAATCAATACTTGAGATTACAAAAAAGTATTCATTCGGAATTTAGGCATGAAGTTTCGGAGTATATTTTTTTTATTTTTTATGTAATAAAGGGTAAATGCGAAAAGGAAGTTTATTATTTGAAATAAAAATAAAATGCGGGGATTCCAAGATTTAATGGTTGTAATTATCCGCACACAATAAATTTTACTAAAGCAGGCATATAAAGTATGTCATTTTATATTCATAAACAATGAACAAAAATACTTGATCGGTGAAAAAAGTAAAAGTGAGTTGATTTTCTTATTTGAAACGCACACAATGGACCAATGACCCAAAAAAATCTACCTTTTATTCCAGAATAATAATAATGGACATGTTTGAATAGGAGATAATGACAGGCCTGAAATAATGCATGAACCCTTGAATGTACTTATCTGTTATCCATATTTATTAATAAATTAATCTTAATTTTCAACTTTAATATTTCCTGAATTATTACGGATACCAAAAAAGAAATGTAGAGCGCCACTTTAAATCTGACTTTATTAGGATCTTCTCCCTTGTTATCCAATATGTTTTTATAATTTTATATTTTTTCAATTTAACGCGAATCATAAATCAAATAAATAAATCACCCGCATTTATTTATTTATATAAAAAGATAACGTACTTTATTTATTTTTATATTTTTTAATTTATGCATTGCCGCGTAGAAATGCAAATGCATTAACTTGTATTTCATATTATTTATTAAAAATTAATTAATCAGAATCAGTTCATTATATAGTTCCATGCAACTCCGTTAATATTTAAATTTCATTTCGAAGTGATAATTTACAATTTATTTTACTTTTTTAATTGAAATCACATATATGTACATGCTAAAAGTATATCTTCTTGTAAAGCAAAGAAAGAAATAAAAAAAGATCCCAATGAAATGCTTAATCATCATGCATCCATTAATCAATAATAAGATGATTCGCATCAAAATAATTTGGTTTATTTCCATAATCACTTCCCTTTATCGGTTCGTCTTAAATTATGAAACAATAGTAAACCATATTTGGCTTCCGAAAAAAATAATATTAAGTTCAAACACCACTTAATCAACATTTGATTTATTGTAAGAAACAAAGAAAATTTATTGGTATTTAATTACTCTTAGAAATTTAA